CTAAAAATACTGCTTTGTTTGTACATGGAGCGAATATTCATCGCAATAGTCCTGTACATCTAAGAAAACAGAGAGTAATTAAAATGTTGATCACTATAGTAAATCTCCGCAACGGCTGCTTGTTTGTATTTCATATGTGCTCACGTTTCTGAGAAGTTAGCTCTTACACAACAACCTACCATGATTATCTGATATCCTCCAGAAGGTTAGCTGGGTGGTTTCCTATATTACTTAGGAAAAACTTTCTTTTCGCAATCGAAAATGTCAGCATCAGTTTAAAGTGTAACACTAAGCATGTGCTTGCTCTCTGAATATCGCCCTCCAGCCACCCTGCCGAGGATCTGGCCGTGACACTTTGAGGAGATCATCGATCCTCACTGTTCACGGCACTTTGCCTGAACACCCGGGCTGCCGGGGCACCTCTGGGTCCAGCTGCCGTTGTTTCCGTGACCCAAGGTGCGCTGACCGTAGCAATTTACATTATGTGCGCAAATTAAAAGTTACCTTGCAACAGCAGTTTACTTTAAAAAATGACCTCGTTTTCCCCCATGTTAAAGTTCTGTTATGTTATAGGAGTTGCATTTTTGTATGATGCAAGGATCTTTTCGTAGGACATAGTCACCCGCCATGATGAAGACAGGTTTCTTTTTTCTTTTCATTTGGGCTTAGGTCGGAATCTCCATAAGGAAAATTATCTTTCATCATCTTGTGCTATATAGAAATATATATATATATATATATATATATATATATGCTATTTGATTGCATGTTTTAAATTTAATTACATTTTTTTTACCAGATTTAAGTCTAAAATAATTGAACTTGTCATATATTGCTGAAAATCTTTCTTCTTTCTGCTCCTAAATTCTCCACTTGAACTGTCACAGTGGTCTGATTTATCCTGTCCTGTTTATAGTTGTAGTGATAGAGAGAAATACCTACTTAACATTTTCAGTGCAAATTGTTGTAGTTGCAGACTGCAACATAAGCATACTGCTAAATCTGGCATTATCCGAGTTTTGGATACCATAAGTATCTTTTGTTTTCCTCACAACTTTTTATTTCTGCGATGAGGGAAGGAAAAGAGAAAACTTCCTATCATTAACATTTTATGATCCTCTAGGGTAGAGACCTGACTTTGGGTGTTCAACCAAAGTTTTGCTGTTTGGGTTTGAACAGTGTTAACTGGGAAACGGCCACCCCATTAAAGAGTGTTCCCCCCAGTATTGGTAGAGACAAAGTAAAGTCAGATACACGCTGTGTCTGTTATTTTTGTTGGAACTTACTATTGTTCTTCAGTTTCTGATTGTTCATTATTTTAAGGCATATGTGAGCCTTGTGCAAGTATATTGAAGTGCCGTGCTCTTTTGGTGAGAAAATCTTTTGTATTTATCAGAGAGCACATGGATACATACAGTATATAAGATTTTACTGTTTTTGACGCACTTTTTCTTCCCCTAGAGATGTAGAGCTTTCGGAATCATGAACAGTTTTCATCTTGATTTGTAATGATCTGTTTGTCCATAGATTGGAAAATGTTATGAAATAATACTAAATATTCCTAGGTAAGATTATACCTTGTAGAGAGACCAAAGCCCAACATGCATGCAGTTAGATTTTTGTCATATCCGGAGCAGTGAGTATGCATGGTGTACGGTGGCCATAAGCACATGTATTCTGTGTCGGCTGTCTCTTACCTGGTCTACTTATGTTTTCAGTAGCATGGCTAATGTTCATTATAAAATCTTGATCTTATCTCTGAAAGTCTGTAATAAATGTAAACTTTCAAGTGTTTGACAGCGGCACGATCCGCCAGGCTGGATAGCTCATTTGACTAATAGGTCGTTGGCCTACTCTTAATTCACCCTTTTGTCCATCCAGCTGCGTGACCTTGTGTGCATTCCTTTAAATCTCTGTCTCTCGTCTGTGCACGCGTGGGATCCCGGGGGAGCTGGAGCTGGGGTCGCAGCCCCCGAGTTCCCTGTGTTCCACAGCAGCTGTACTTGCTTGAACAAACCTCCTTGACTCTCCGAGCCTGGTTTCGTGGTCTGAACCCCTGATGTGATCAGATGTAGACTGTCGTGAGGATCACTTGAGGCAATAAATGGAAAGCCCCGTGAGGGGCTTGTGGCGAGGAAAGCTCTGTGTAGGCTTATTAATCTCTAGTACCTGACTTTGAACAACACCATTACTTCCTGATGAAGTACTTCATCAGTACTTCCTAATGGCCGACCTGATGCAGCGTCGGCCAAGTTATTTAACCTCTTAAGCTCCATTCACTCAACTACAAATATGGAGAATTAATTACTCTTTCTTCCAGAATTCTCATAAGGAGTGAACTACATGAGGTTAAGTACGTAACATGTCACAGCAGAGTGACGTCAGGTCTTCCTGTCCTGTCACTGGGTATCACTTCTGCCTCGTGCATTTTCATCTAGTGAAAGCTTCCTGAGGCCCAGCTTCATTTTAAGTTCTGGGGGAGAGTGATGAGCAAGACAAGGACTCTGTATTTCTGGAGCTGACTTCCTTGTGGGGTCTCAGGAAATAGAGGAGTGAGCCAATCAGTAATTTCAGAAAGCAGTGGGTACTATGGAGGAATGATGTTGGGTGACAGGCAAGGAAGTGACAAGGGGTGGGGGGGAGTCATGGCAGAGGTTAGCGGTTGCAGATAGATCTTTTGCAGAAGGCAGCCCCAGAGCGTTTTGTAAAGACTTTTCTTTGAGATAGTCGTAGACTCCCATGCAGTTGTAAGACATGACACAAAATATTAGATGCAGAGTACCGTAATACACACATAACCAAACTAACAGTCCGAGCATTCTTTCTGAGGCATTTAGAGTCGAATCTTGAATGATGAGAGGGATTATGTCAAAGAGCATTCCAGGTGGAGGGAATAGAGAGGTGCCGATTCTGAAGTGGGAAGACATTGGGGCGTTGGCTTCACTGAGCAGGGCCACTGTGGCCGTGACCCTTGCATGAGGGAACGAGGGCTTTATGAAAGGTTGAGCAGCCAAGCCACTGTGTCTTGCAGGGCCGTGACGGTGGTGGTGCGAGACTTGTGTTCTTTGTGCAAGCAATCACACTGGTTGTGCTTCAGCAGAGTGCTCAAGATCTCCCTCCATAATTTGTCAAAACTATCACCCCCTCCCCATTTTTAAATTGGACCTCAAACATTTTCATCTCAAGTATCAATAGTACAGGATGGGGTTTCTAGTGTATGGGAAAAGTTGACCTTGTAAAAGTATTTTATATCTCACTATTGAATATGTATCCAATAGAACGTTACTACCATGATAATTTGATGCTCACTATCATCCCTTTGAACTTTACCTGACTGAGCTCTCCCTTTTCACTGTCAGAACAATTATATTTGCTTTTCTTCTTGAACTCCTGTCTCTTTCATTTCCTCCATAGATTTTATTTTATGGTTTTTATAATGGGAAGATGTTTTAATAAGTATCCTGTCATTTTCCTGTGTGTATGTGTGTACATATAGAGACCCGTACATATACACATGGAAGTAAGGTTTCTAAAGTTTTAGTGTCTTTGGCTACAGTATTCTAAGTGTGAAAATCGGTCAGAAAGAATTGCTATCATAAATAGTACTGGTGCACAATTGATATAAACGGCAAAATTAATAGTATGATTGGTAATTTTTAAACATGAAATATAATGAATGCCATTGGGATGCCTCTCTTAGCAAGATGGAGAGAGAGTTTATAAAATTTCAGATCATGTACCCATGAATGAATACTGTGACCAGGGTGATGTAAAGTCTGGTGGAAATTAATAGTGAACATAAATGATATGCTGTGGGGCTTCGAAATGAAGTTTGAATGATTATTAGGTATGTTGTTTGTATATTATATATGTTTATAGTATGTCATTACAGTCGATGAATTACACTGTTTTAGAAGTTCATGTAATGTTAACAAGGGCATGCTAGGAATGAATAAGCAGGAAGGTGCTTACCTTCCTGATGAGGGGGTAGATATATGTGCTTAGTAAAAATTTATAGTACCCGATATTCTTTGTGTAAAAACTTAATGATACTGTTCCTCTAAGTTTGAATAAACGTTTAAGAAAAGATATATCTTATGTTATATAATATTAAATATATGTGTGTGTGTGTGTGTGTGTGTATCAGTTCTGAGAAAGGATTATTTTACTGACTTAAGATTGGTCTACTGGAAATTCATGTAGCATCTTTCACCTCTTCCTCCTTGAAATGTCACAGAAAATACATAACTGAGACAGACCGAGGCATGTGTGAGTGGGTGGGCTCTGGCTCCTGACTCAGCATCGTGACTTTGTAGATAGGGTGTGTGAATTATTTCCCAGGATTCTTTTCTTCTTCTCTTCTTTTCTTTTTTAAAGCAAAACCTGAGGTAATTCCATGCTTAGAGACAGTATAGGTCTTTGCCGTGAGCTTTCTGCCTCAGTGAGTTGAGTTTCCACTGTCTCCAGCCTTTCTTTCCTGTTCTCTTTGTGCGTGGCTCCCAGTCAGCTTGATGCCCTTCCCTGATGATCCTTCGGGATTGAGGAGGCAGGATCTCTCAGCAGGAACCGCCACCACTCTCACCATCCCATCGTCACTGTCCCTGAATTTAGGACAGATGAATTTAGGCCAGGTGGCGTGTGTCTGCTGTCATGCTCCTCTTTTTATGGAAATGAACGCAAAGAAGGAAAGACTGGATGTTCTGTCCCAGGCTCAGTGACGTCTTGACTTTAGAAAGGCTTTGCGGTTAACAGGGGATTCTGTGGTGTTCCAGTGCCTTTTACCACTCACTCTGGAGCACAGTACAGGAGGAGCAAGGAGGAGGCCTTCATTCTGGTAAGTGACAGAAAAGCGGTGATGGGGTAGGATGTGGTGAAGGCGAAATGGCATCGGGTGCTACCTCAGGAGCTTTCGTCAGCTTTCAGGGACAGGAAGGACTAGCTGAGCCAGGGATCAGGAATCGACAGCTGTAAACCATCTGTACCTAACTGCTGTCTTTCAGAATTCTTCACGTGCCCTAGGAGTGTGTGGAGGTCATGGTCTGGGTCGGAAGGTCCTGGCAGATGGACATGTAAGCACACATGTGTTTTCATTCTGCCTCTTGAATGTGGGAGTTGGTGTCTTTCTGCAGTTTGGGATCCTTGGCTGTTCTCTCTCTGGATGTTGCTTCTGTCTCTGTCCCTCTTTTCCTGGGACCTCAAGTACAAGTATGATGGGCCTTTTGCTGTGGACCGTGTGTCTTCTGTTCTTTTCATTGCTTCTTCTGCTTGCTCTCCGGTTTTGGTATTGTCTGTGTGCTCTGTCTCAGAACCCACCAATCTTTCCTTTCCTATGCCATCCGAGATTTCTGTTAAGCCATCGATGAATGCTTGATGAAAGATAGTTTATTTTATAGGTCTAGAATATCCATGTGATTTCTTCATATGCATTACACTCTTCTCATTCAGTTCTCCATCTGTTGCATCCACTTCTGTCCATCTTGTTACCTGTTTTTCTTACCAAGATGATCTTACTTACTTCACAGTCTTTGCTTATTTTTATTCTGAATTATTGGTTGCATTTTCCTTCCCGTGTACGTTTCTGGTAATTCCTTGGATGTGTGCCTAACACGGTGAATGAAAGAACATCGAGGGCCAGATGGTTTATTTGGTTGGTCGATAGTCCCTTCTTCTCTTTGGTGCATTGAGCTGGCCTTCGGTGCCCCTGTAATTTGTCCCTGTTTTTCCCCTGTGGACACTCTGTGTTTTGATTGAGACCCACTAGTCAGAAGCAGGCTCTTTGTCCTCAGCACTGGAAGGCCTCACAAGCACTACGCTAGTCCTTTCAGGGATTTGGAGCGTCATACTTAGTCTTCTTTGGCCCCATGCAGCTTAGTCATCTGGCAGCTCCCACGTGGGTGGGTCTGTGTTTGTGGGAGACCCGTTCTCGCTAGCAGAGGCTCATCCCGTAGGTACTGCGAGGCCACGGTAAGCTTCGCTCGGTCCCGTCCCCTTCACCTCCCACCTTGCCAAAGCACACGTCCTGTGGGAACGTCAGCCTTGCATCTGGGCCTCCTTGAGTTTCCAGTGTGTCACTGTATGGTGGTGGTGTCCTCTAATCCCAGTGGAGCTGATGTCCTGAGCTGCAATCAGCAAGTGGCCTGGGAACAAAATGGTGCCCCATCATCAGCCTCCCCAGTGAAGGGCTCTCTGTCCTCTGCACGGATCCTTTACCTAGCTCTGGTCATCTGACAGTTTCCTGACTATCGCCAGGAGCACATCTGTGCGTAACCAGCCTTTTCTGGTTGTTGGGATGGAGGCTTTGGCTTGCACCATGTATGTATGTATGTATCTTCTCAGGAAGCAGAAGTCCCTGATTTAATAAAAAGCTTAGAAATTATGATTTGTTAATACCTGAAAGATGGTGGTGAGCAAGTTCTTGGTAACTGATGATGCACATAGCGAGTGCCCCATTACTGCTTTTTTAATTGGATGCAGAGTTCTTTGTTCACTGTACACAAGAATGTGTGATTTTTTTCATTCTTTTTTTTAGATTGTATTCAAATCCAAGTTAGTTAACATATAGTGTAGTATGAGATTCAGGGGTAGAATGGAGTGATTGATCAGTTGCATATAACACCGAGTGCTCATCACTTCACATGCCCTCCTTAATGCCCATCCCCCAGGTACCCCAAACACCACCCACCTCCCCTCCGGTGACTCTCACTTTGTTTCCTACGATTAAGAGTCTCTTACGGTTTGCCTCCCGCTCTGTTTTTATCTCATTGTATTTTTCCTTCTCTTCCCCATGCCCATCAGTTTCGTTTCTTGAATTCCACATACGAGTGACCCAGAGGGCTGACACACCCAGCCAGAGAAGCAGGGCGCCCGGGGCGCAGGGCAGCCCTGAGCCAGCAGGTATCCCCGGGACTTTACAGCAGCTGCTGTGGGAGGCTGAGGTCGGGGGTGCGGGGAGGCAGGAGGCAGGAGGCAGGGCCGAGTCCTGGCACCTTCCCCACCAGAGGCCGTCTCCCTACATGCAACAGCGGGCTGCCCCCAAACCCTACACGCAACATGTTCGCCAGATGCCCAACCGCCTGGGGGTTGGAATGGCAGGGGTCCGGAGCACCCTGGGTGAAGGAGGACCCCAGAGCTGTGTGGGGCCCCGCCTGGCCCCTCTCCCGCAGCCCTGTGGCTGCTTCTGCAGCAGAGCTCCTCTTCGCTGGGGACCCACCGGCCTGGGGTCTCCTGTCCCGGGCCCCCCAGACCACCGGACAGCTGACAGGTGGCTCCCGAGGCTCCTACGCCTTTGAGTTCGAGCACAAGCTCCTGCTTGGCAGCCCCTCCGTGGCACCTGCCAACCCAGACCCACTGCAGGCCAGGCACATGATGGAGGGCTCACTGGAGCGCCAGCCTGCCGGTGGGGCAGACCCGGGTGGCTGTGGGTCTGTCCTCAGGTGGGCAGTCCTGGGCTCACTCCTCTCCACACCGCAACTGCCGCCTCCCGGACACTTCCTTTCTACGTAGAACATGGAGACTGTTCTCCCTCCCACACGTTTTGGGGCAAACTGTTGAAAGATGGGGCCTCTCCTCCCTGGCAGATAATCTCTGGTCCTGGGCACTTGTGCGCTAATGCCACCACGCATCCTCCATTCACTCGAGAAGCATCGCCAGAGCCTGCCCACAAGCACGGTCCCTGGTACTGGGGTGCAGTCGACGTGCTGTGCCCAGGAGGGTGCAGGCAGATGGGTGAGCCCAGCACCGCAGGGCGAGACTCGCTCTACGGGGTGCCGGGGGAGGGGAGTTGTCCTCTGGCTGAAGCTTCGGGATCCTGTGCTCACTTCAGCTTTTCAGAACCTGCTGGAGACCCATGTCAGCTCTGCAACGACAATCCTTTTTTCTTGAAAGCTCATCAGATTTCTGAAAACCACAGGTTACAGCAGACATAGTTCAGAAGACACTGAGGAATCCCCTACTTTTGGCGTCTGCTTTGTCCGTGAGCCAGGGACCTCGTGGCTGGAGTTCCGGAAACGCACGCACGCACACAGAGAAGTCTCGGGAGCAAGTGACACACACGGACGCCGAAGTGCTTAAATACAGATTTATTGCAAACCGACACTGGAGAGGGGACCTCGCGGGCCGGCACCCTGGTCTCCGCGGACCTCGGCAGACGGAGCTCAGTGGCCAATCTGAGGCGGCCGCATCTGGAGAGAGAAAACACGCAGGCTGCACCGGCTCCAGGGCCCAGGCCGGCAGCAATGGGCAGAGGACACCCACGAGGACGGCCCGCCATCGGCCGCATGGCCCGGTGCCCCAGCCCGCCACTCTGACGCTGGTGAGCCGCTGCCACGGCAGGCGGGGTGGGCCAAAATGCAACACTGAAAACGACGTCAGATAGAGAAGACGAAGGACCATGGAGTCCATGGCTCCCCAGTCTCCTGAGTAGCTGGGGTACGGTGCATGCCCCACCTCGTCACACCAGGAGACCCCGACGAGACCATCGAGACCGGTTCTCACACACGTGCGTGGCATGAGAGCCCTGGGACGTGGGACAGGTGTGCAAATCCTGGGCACCCTGAGGATGGGTCTCAGCAGCTCCAGCAACAGGCTCCGGCCCAACTATGGGGGCAGAGCTCTGCGCCCCCTTGGCGACGCTCCTCCCAGCCATCTGGTGTCTGGACCTCCTTCGTGGCACGAGAGCCACCCGATGCTTCCCAGGGGCTGCTTCGGACATACTCAGGAATCCCCACTCACTTCTGGCCACCTCGAGCCTCAAACCGGCCCCCACACGACTGACGAGTGAGCTCCCGCCTGCTCAAGCCGTTTGAAGGGGGCCGTTTCTGGAGGAACCATCGCCTAGAAAGGAGTCCTCCTCAGCCCCCAGGACAGCCCCCGAGGGAAGGTCCTAGGAAACCTGCCAGCTGACAGCCCCCAGAGCAGCGGGCATGCGGCATGCGGGCCTGGGGTGGCTCAGGCCCCACGGGCAGAGCAGAGGCAGGAGGAAAGGCGCGGCTGTGTCTCCCGAGGGCACCCGGTCAGCTCCCCGACAAGGACCAGGCCCCACAGAGGACGCGGGAGGACAGTTCCTGCTGTGTCTGTGGCCTACTCGGGAAGGTGTCCCCACATCCGGCAGCGCCGACCAAGAGCCCCAGTCTGGTCTCCCCGACGGGGCTGAGCATCCGGCGGACGCACACACACACCAAGCGAGAGCGCAAGCATGGGTGTGCAAGAGAGATGAAGGCGAGGGCCTCTCACACCCCCCTCGGCAGCAGCCGGCCCATTACCCGCTCCCCGGGCCCAGCATGAGGAAAGGAAGCAGAGCCCACGCAGCAGCAGCAGCAGGAGGAGAGTGGGTGGCCGGCGTCCCGCTCACCCCACGCTGCTCCCCAAGTGTGGAGACGCAGGGCCGGGCGCCACAGGTTCACCCTTCTTTTTAAAATGATTTTTTTTATTGGAGTTCAGTTTGCTGTCATGTAGCATAACACCCAGTGCTCATCCCACCAAGTGCCCCCTCAGTTCCAATCACCCAGTCACCCCAACCCCCACCCACTTCCCCTTCCACTACCCCTTGTTCTTTTCCCAGAGTTAGGTGTCTCTCATGTTTTGTCACCCTCACCGATATTTTCACTCATTTTCTCTCCTTTCCCTTTATTCCCTGTCACTAATTTTTATATTCCCCAAATGAATGAGACCATATAATGTTTGTCCTTCTCACATTGACTTATTTCACACAACGTAATACCCTCTAGGTCCCTCCACGTAGAAGCAGATGGTGTGTATCGTCCTTTCGGTTGGCTGAGGAATATTCCATTGTATACATAAACCACATCCTCTTTATGCATTCATCTGTCGATGGGCACCGAGGCTCCTTCCACAGTGTGGCTATTGTGGACATTGCCGCTATAATCATCGGGGTGCAGGTGTCCCGGCATTTCACTGCGTCTGTATCTTTGGGGTAAATCCCCAGCAGTGGGATTGCTGGGTCACACGGCAGCTCTATTTTGAACTCTTTGAGGAAGCTCCACACAGTTTTCCAGAGTGGCTGCACCAGTTCACATTCCCACCAACAGT